TTAATATTAAATAAATCAAAAAAAAATATCTAATTAAATAAAATTTACTCTAATAAACTTATTTTTTTTGAATTTTTGTTTTTTTTTTTTTTTGCAATATCCTTTAACACTGCCGTTCAATTTCATGTTAAACGATTTTCACTGTATGTAAAGGCTATAAAAGCAGATTGAAAACAATTTACATCCATCTTGTTTTTCTATCTCTCACATTTTGCGTGACTCCTACATTATATCTAACGCATTTTACATGGTAGATACATTCTTAGAAAAACCGTACAAATGAGTACGATTTGTACACTAACAAAATAGACGTGCTCCACGTTTTCTAAAATCCGAGTACGGGAAATAAAGGACTTTAATTTATTTAAAAAAATTATGTAAAAACGATTGAAAAATCAATCAAATATGTTTTTAAGCATGCTTATTTACATTTATGTGTTTGGGATAAGACAAAAGAAACCTTTGATAGAAAAATCTTGCCCCTTTTTTCGTAAATGTTGGTATGATTTGATTTAAATTAACACCATCTTAAAACTGCGAGAGATCTATTGAGGATGATGTGCCTCTAATTTCTTACTTTCTTTGTCAAAAAATCTTTTTGTTAATCAATATTTTAATAACCAGTTGTTTTAAATATTTACAAAATAAAATAAAAGTGATGCGGTCCAGAAAACGGAAGGTGCAAAAGGGAAGCTAATAAATGGTGACAACACACTTATTCCATGTAAAATATGTTTTACTGCTTAAAGAGAATATCAGCAGAAAAAACATAAGCCTGATTTCGATTGATTCAACAAGAAGAGCGATACTCAATCAGCGGCTCGTGGGCCGCATGTACGATTTTGCTCGATTCCTCCCCAATTTTAAGGGAGAACACTCTGAGGGTTGTCAGAAGCCTCCCACCTCCCTTCCCCTTCCATCAACTTCACGAGAGCACTTACGGCTCGATGACTATTTAGAGTACACCTGTACCGCAAATGTAGTATATATTTACAAACATCCATGCCTTCTCCGGGATTCGAACCCAGGCCGTACGGCACCGCAGTCAGTGTCACTAACCACTATACCAGATGGGCAGCTGAACATATTTTAAACAAATAATACTGATTTCAGTCTGGAATTCAGTAAAACCTCTTTGTTACCATCCTGCATATGAGAAATTAATATTTGAAATAAAAATAAATGGGCCTTTGCCAAAAAAAAGAGAGAATCAAATGACATTATGACAGTATAATATGAACAAAAGGTTTGGGGTCATAGATGAAAGGAAATCGAAACTACCCTACAATTCGATAAAAAATGCCTAAAACCGATTTTTTTAGTGTTTTATAGGGAGTTTAATATAGTATAAAAATAATATCCAACAATGAAAGAATTTTAATAATTTGCTCAAATTTTCCACCTTTTAAATGTTTTTTTGTCTAATAGCCCCCTCTCCCCATTAATCCTCAGTTTGCCCCCACGTGAAATAGTTGTCATACCTTTGTGGCCTGGCGGAAAAAAAAGTTTGAGTACCCTGGAACTTGAACCACACGCGAAGTATTGTCGATGGAACTGGTATAATTTTAATTCACACTGAAGTGTGTGAGGAGGAGCGTATCAAGTCTCTGCCTCCTCATTCCCATGATATCTACATGACGTCACGTGAAGACAAAGATTGAGAGTTGTTTGCATTGGCCCCCTCAACCTTTATTATTCCGAATGATGAGGACTCATTGCACTCCTGCATTTCATGGTTGCCAGTTTTTGGTGGTAGTGATGTTCAAGCTAAATCGCGTGGGGGAAAAAAAAAAAATTGCAGTTCTGATTTTTTTTAAGGACAAATCGTGGTGGATCTTTGGTGGAATTCTAGTTAAATGCAGTTGCTTTTTAAAGTCCTCATGTGGCATGTAAATGAAAGTTGAAAGAATGACGTATTCTCTAGAATGTCACCAATGCCACTTCTAGTGACTCATTTTTAAGTTCGTCGACGATAGCGTTTATATGCAGCTCTAAAACAGTGGTTCCTAAAGTGGTCCATACGGACCCCTAGGGATCCTCGATATTATTGAGGGTATCCGTGGAAAATTAAAATGTATTTGGGGTCCCTGAACAACATCAGTGGGTCAGCGCAAGGTTTAATAAAGACTATAAAAAATGGATCCATTTTTATTTTTATGGAAATTTAAATAAATAACAATAATTCACTAGGATATTCCCGACTGGGTGTTGAACTTTATTGCGCGTGGACTAACTCAGATCCCAAACACTGATGAATCCATACTAATACAGGAGCATCTTACTGAAATGTCCACAAATGAGGGACTTCAACCAATGATTGAACGAATATACCGCAAATTCTGGTTATAAAAACAAATCCCAATTTTATATCCTGCAATAAGTGTTATTATACAGAAGTTGTTGACTGCTTTTCCGTCTTACAGTTTGGTAGAACATGGATTCACAGTGTCGTAAAAAACCTCATCACACACAAAAAAAGAAACCGACTAAAAACTAGTGCTCGGGGGAATTTGCGGTTGCTACTCACAAACATTGAGATGGACATAAATACACTTATAACATCTCCTCAAGTTCATCCTAGCCACTAATTTATTTTATTTTATTTTATACAAATTCATAATTTCAATAACTCTTCAAAAATTGTTTTTTAAATTTGCAATTTTCATACTATGCATTCATTTATCTCTTTCACTTGGGGGTCCTTGGGAAAATTTTAACTGCAAAAAGGGGTCCGTGGATGTTTTGACTATAAAAAGAGGTTTGTGGGCAAGTTTTTATTAAAAAGGGGTACATGGGTTAAGAAAGTTTGGGAACCACTGTTATATATAGAGAGAGAGTAATAAATCTTCAAACCCCCAAATGAATTAATTTAAACATCATTAGCCATATAAAAAAAGATTTTAACTCTGGGAATATCTTGGTCCAAATTTTAACTCAACCAATTCAGGAAAGAGTATTATATTAAATTATAAAATCTGATTCATGGAATTTTTGCGAGTTTACTTGAAGATAATTAAAATTACCCAAAACTTATAAAAGTCAGGCAATTCAATTATTAAAAAATCCCAAATATATATAAAAAAAATTCTCATTCTTCAAGAAAATATATTTTAAATGCAGACAAAATTTCATTTTGAACTTTCAAGTATAAATGATTTACTGCATGCATCAATTTAAAAAAATTCTTTGATTGTATTATTCTTAGAAGCTTGATCCCGTAACTTAGGTTATGAATTTTTTTAAAGTGACTTTAAGAAACTCCGGCAAAAGATCAGAGTTGAGTGACTTGAAATAAACAATCTCAAACTTTTCAAGCTTAAAAAAATATTAGAAAATAAATGGAGAAAAAAAAATAGCAAAAAACTTCGGGCTCAGTTGATTCTTTTCAGAGTTGTAACAGTTATTTGAATTTGATGTATCATTCTCTTAAATAGGATGAAAAATTGAAAAGTTAAGGTGTTGATTGATCATTCCATCACCTATAAAGTCAGTTATTTTTTTCAAAAAGTACATTTGAAGTACTTATTTTATAAACAAGTAGAGAATTTGACTGATCCTGTAAAAAATTAGTAAATAATGAAGTTCATAAATCACTTTAGGAAAAATAGCTATGTACATACATCGAAACAGTTAATTTGAAAATGGAAACATCAGAATGAATTATATCACTTTTAAATCTATTTTGGAACAAGTAATATAAAAAAGAATTTTAAGTCAATTCCTACTTAAGTCAACAAAGAAGAATTTTATTTTAGTTACTTTTTATTAAATAGTTAAAATCAATATAAATATGTATATACATTTTCCAGAATCACAATATTAAGTGACAAAATAGAAAGCGATTTTCCATTTTCCTTTGTATATATGGTGCTGAAGTATTTTTTGTTTGTTACTTTTATTAATTAATTAAATTTAATTATTGTAATAAAATATTATAGTTAAAAAAAATCACATTCTCAGAAATTAGGCGATCCCAGGTGGGATTCGAATCCACGACCTTTGGATTAGCAGTCCAACGCGTTTTCTTTTGCGCTACAGGGACACAACGAACGATTTTCCTTTCGATATATGATGTTGTGCTATTATTTTTGTTTGTTACTATTTATTCGTTTTTTAATTTAATTAATGAATTAATATTTGAAAAAACTGTATTAACATCAAGTGTCATCCATCACAAGTTTTAAAAAATGTATTTGAACTTGAATGAACAGAAAGTATTTTATTAACGATTGAAAATTTGAACAAGATATATATATATATATATATATATATATATATATAAAAGTTGAAAAAGCTTCTCTAGTTGAAAATAATATCAACTAGAGAAAATCATAGTAACAAATATCTATGAAACGTTTAGTTTTAGATTAGTATTTAAACCTTTTACAACTTTATTCTTATTTTTTTTTCAGATTCAAAGATTTCGGTAACAGAAATTATTTTATTAAATACAGCTCGGATTCCGTCAATAAATGAAATTTGACAAGTTATAAGTTGAATAAAACAGAGCAAAATATAAGTTATATTTAATAAAATAGATAAACTAAATAAAAAAATAGAATGGCTTTATAATATTGAAAGAGTCTGAAATTATTACTTTATTTTATTGTTTTGAATTCAATATCTTTATAAATCTCTTTTGATGAGATGCACACACAAATTTAGCTGTATTTTATTGTTCAAAGTTTTACCACAGTCTGGAACAAAATTAATCGATCACCAAAACTTTAAAGATAAAAATAACACAAGTATAAACAAGACAAAAAATCTCTACTATAGATTTTGTGATTACTATATAAAATGAGTCTGAAATTCGTAATTAAATTAATCGATCTACATTTCCGATATTTTTTCGGTATTTCGTGTCCACGCGGAAGTTAAAATAAGGTATTGACTGAAAAAAAAATGAAAAGTAAATTTTTATATTTAGTTTATATTAAATATATTTACTATAATTGTTTTTAGTTTTTCAATCATGTTTATGTATTGAATTTTTCTGCAGCATTCATTTTCTAGTAAAATTACTTTCGTTTTAAATGTAAATGTAATATGTGTAATGGGAAGCAAATAATGGTTTTGCAAAACTAAAACTTATTACGATTTGTATTTACTGTAATGGTTTGAATCATTCTTAACTTATAAATGCTTTTGTTAATTTTTATATAAAATTAATAAATTCTATCACATAAATTAAATTTAGTTAGATTTATATATTCAACTAGAACATTGAAAATGTTGCGGTGGGAGAATGAAAAGCTCTAGAAGCCCACATATATCTAAACAGAAAACGTGACAATTGATCCTGAGGGTGGGGAACATAACTAGGTAGGGTACGAATCTATTAACAATATAAATTATCATGAAAATATTATTTATGAATATTATATTGTAGCAAAGATATAGTTCACTTCGGTTGCCATTGACACGATCTACTGTTTGGACTAAGGAGCTTGGCTGCGGGCGACTTGCCAAAAATAACTTTTAATTTCTTTGCATTGACTTTAGTTTCTGTATCTTGTGCTTATTTTTATTAATTGTAATTGTATTTATAAAAGTTAACTGTAACTATAGTTATGAAAAGTTCTGAAACTTTCCTTCGCTGTATATAAGTTAAAGAGATATTCAGTTCGTGGAATAAAGTCTTGAATTGTGACTAGCGAGAGTTGTTATCATTTTACTTGAGCATCCAATTATTACATTAGTTTAATTGATGCGACATTATTATCTATTATAACAGATTTTATTATTATGAATAAAGATATCGTCAAGAAACGAGTATTCACAGGTTTTCAAGTTAATGGGTTTAAGTTTGTGACATTTATTTTCGGGAACCGAATGGTCATGCTCACAGCCGGCATTGTTGCTGTAGTGGGTTTGAGTCCTCTCTCTGTTGCTATTAAAGACCACCACATAGCTGGAATAATACACTCATTAAATTTGTCGACACTCAGAATTTTTCTGTTTGCATGGTGTTGCTAAATTTTATGATTTAATTTGCTTTCTGATTAACGTCGCACGTTTTTTTGATAACGTCGTAAATAGAATAGACCAGTAGTCTTCAAACTTTGTCGACTCATGGAACCCTGGAAACTGTAAGATGTTACCGGGGAACCCCATAAAAAAAGCCCGTTAAAGGAATACATCTTAAATAATATTTAAAGTAGTTCAATACGTTATAGGTATTTCAAGTAAAGACAATGGGCTCCATTCATGACGGCCTCATTATCATGTGACTATGACGTCACATGAATTGATCCCATTAAAGTACTGCATTATTTATTAAAGACAAACACGTGTTCTGCATTGAATTCAAAACAGACATCTAACTAATTGTACTTCTTGTGTTCTATTTGTAAAACTTGGGTAAAATTTCAAATTTTATATAATAGAGTAAAAATGTTCAAATGTTATAAAAAAAAATAAATTTCTTCAAAAGGTTTTAAAATTAAAAAAAAAAAAAATCTTATTTTCTACATGTACATTTAAATAAAAATGCATTTTGTCTAACCCTGTGCATTATTGTTGTTGACAAATTTGTATTTGTCAAGAGAAAGTTTCTGAAAAGATCAAAAGTTTGCAACAACGAAGAGCATGAACTAATTAGCTGGAAATATGTGATTGCTTTTATCGTGTGACTATGACGTCACATGATTTTGAACTGATTGGTTAAAAGACGTGGTTATCCTTATCATGTGACTATGGCGTCACACGAATTGAGCCCATTGAAAATAGTGCAATTTTTATTAAATTTTTTAAAAAAAAGATTGATATTAATGTAATTTACACTCACCAACTCATGTCTTAGGAATCGTTTACCATTGTATTATATTTAATAACTGGGATTTGGGTTTATATATATATTTTTTTACTCAACCTATCGAATTCTACTTATTTTTTTACACAAGCTATCTGCAGTTGCATTTCATTTTCTGCATTAATTTGCTTCGATATTTTTTTTTTTTTTGCTACATGCGTTGAGAAATATTTTTAACTTAAATACGTTGTTCAGAATGACATTAAAATGTTTATAACTGTTGAGGAAACTTCTGCGTATTCTGCAAATTTGCAACCTAAAATTTAGGAGCTGCTTCTGCTTAAATTTAGACTCTAACATCGTATCTGTTGATAATTTGCACATTCTTCTTCGTTGGCAAGCCCTCTGATTTATCTGTTCATGTCTGAAGCCCGTTGCTTTCACGACATTAATTATTTTATTTTATTCGTAAAATATTTATTTATATTTATTTTTACAAGCAAAATGCCTTTAAGAGAATTCAATCTTTTACAAAAATTAAAATTTTACCGCTTTGATAATGCAAATATAGTGATTACTTTCTGAATTTCAGTCAAATTCCAGTGAATTCTAGGGTTCCACGGAGAGAATGAGAATAATATTAACGTCGCATTACAAAGCAATATGAGGGGTATTGGAAACGGACCTCGATAAAGTGCCGAAGACCATACAAACACTGACACCTTTCTCTCCTAACTACCACCCCAACAGACATTAAGCCTTGACAGGTTTAACGTGCCTCGGCCTCCTCTACACGGCGAGTCTTCAGTGGCCCTAGGCTTGAACTAATGACACACCGGCCACGATCTTTTGATTATAACCACTTGGCTACAGTGGGCACCATGGAACACAGGTTCAAGACCTCTGGATTAGATAATAACAAACAATGCAACACGCAATCAGCATTCGATACAGAGAAACACTTAAAATTAAACTTTAATGTGTGACCAGAAATGGCGAGTGTTGCTTTTCGTCTGCAATTTTTTTCACCCCTTAAGCGTTTATCGAAGTCCATACAGGGACAGCAAAGCAAAACGTTTTAGAGGGGCTGAAGAGAGGGATGACGGGAAATAAGAAACGGAGGAATGAGTTGTGGGTCACGGGATGCATGGGTTTGAGGGTGGGACATTACAGATAATGCTGTGTGCCCGGGTAGATTTCAGTTTATAGTCTACGTGATAGGGTTTTGATCAGACCGTTATGATTGCAATTTATATGCCCGGGGCATGACTACAGGTTCAGACGGTTGGTGACTTATTTTATTTATCTATTTATTTGGACGGAGGAACTTTACGTTGCAATCGATGTTAACTTCTTCTGACTTTTTTTTTGTTTTTTGTTTTGGATGGCATACCAGCGATTTTTAATCGATGGGGTAAGGCACAACTCTTCTTGGGATCTGTTATTGATTGAAACGGTTTTCGTGCTGGAGGTTGTTGCAACGTGAAACTATAGGATTTTGTTGTTGTTGAGATGTTTATTGGAAAGAGATGTTTGCGATTGTTTCTTCTTCGTATTATTATTTTTTTTATTTAAAAAAAAGTTTGTTTTTCGTGAGATTTGTTCTCGAGATTTTCTTGCGTCGAAAGTTTGTTTGGGGCAAATTTTTGTTATAAACATATTGTTTCTGCAGCACATGTGAGGTTCCCTCTTATTTTTACTACGTAGTTTAACATTATTTTATTCAGGGCAAGCGATTTTATTATTTCCAGAAAAACCAGGGCAGTTACCAAAGTCGGTTTATGTAAATAAATTTAGAAATTTATTGAATCTCCTAGTTTTTTTAATACAAGATTCCTCTAAAAAGCATTCCTCGAAGGAGTGATTGAAGGACTAAAAATATCAGTCCAACTTCTCTCTTTCTTTCCCTCTCTCTCACACACAAGGGACGTTCTGGAAGTAAGTTTCATCATTTTTCATTTCAATTCTTACTATTAATTCCCTCTCTTCCTACATATATATATATATATATCTTGTTCAAATTTTCAACCGTTAATAAAATACTTTCTATCGATCCATTCAAGTTCAAATACATTTTTTTAAAACTTGTAATGAATGGCACTTGATGTTAATACAGTTTTTCAAATATTAATTCATTAAGTAAATTAAAAATGATTAATAGTAACAAACAAAAGTAATAGTTCAGCACTATATATAGAAAGGAAAATTGTTCGCTGTGTTCCTGTAGCGCAATGGAAGGCACATTGGATTTCTAATCCAAAGGTCGTGAGTTTGAATCCCACATGGGA